AGGAAAAGGTCATTTACTACCATTTAGTAAAAACTCAGTCGTACGAGACCCTTCAGATGTGTATCAGTGGGCCATATGCTTGGAGAATGATTGCTAACACGTATCTTGTGGGGTAGAGATAAAGGAAGTTCCAAAAGAATTTTTTTATGTTAAAGTAGACTCACAGGATCCTGAGGAGTCGGGCTGATTTCTTTTTGCCCTTAGCGAAGTGTCAAGATCAAGGCAACTGAGCTCCCAGAGGAAGGTCACTCTGCCTGTTTCAAGGCCTTGTCAATGGGCTGTAAGTAGTAAGGAAATTTAATTGTTTCTTATTTCCCACATCATAAATAATATAGTCAGATATGAAATGCTACAGAGAAGAAATGAAGGTAACGGAGCTAGGGAGTGTGAGTGACACTGCACCAGAGCCCAGAGGTGGTGAGGGAGTGGGTCAGGAGGAGATCTGGGGAAAAGCCCTCCAGACACAGGAAACAGGAAGTAGAACCCCCGTGAGATGGAAGCAAGTTTGGTTTGCTACACAAACACCAAGGAGGACTGTGTAGCCGAGACCAGTGAGCCTGGGCTGAGTGGGAAGGCAAGCTGTTGGAGGTGCAGGGCCCCGTAGGCCATTGTAGGCAGAGATCACTGGCCGGTGATGGGCTGATGGGAAATGGGGCACAGGTACACAAGGAAGCAAAACAGTTTTCCTGGAGTTCAGAACAGTGTCTGGAACATGAATTCCTTGAGGAACAGGACAAGCCTCCTCACCGTCCCCCCCGCCCCCAGGCCCTTTGTAACTTTTTGCAGTGCAGAACCACACCAGGCCCCACAGGAGCAGTCGGGGACAGAGGCTGACTCTAACTCACAATCCAGTCCAGGTCCCACTTGGAAGGAGTCTTGTCCCTGTTCAGTGATGAACATGCAGATCCAGGCAATCGTCAGCTATCTTTAACCACATTCAGTAATCAGAAAACAAGAATGGCTTGAAGGCTTCGCTCCTCATTCCAACCATTTTCAAATGGCCGAAAAAATCTTAACCATGCCTAGAAAAATATTAGAACTCAAGAATGTTCTGGAGACTACAAGGGACTCTTCTAACTCACACAGATAAAACCATTTCACCAACATAGTGGAAGATCTTTCAGAAGCTGGCGCTTTCTTATGTTTTATTCTCTGGAGTGTGAGCTTTACAGGTAGAGAGGTTAGATTGTGAGGAGGAAGGGGTGCAGGAGAGGGGCAAGGAGACAAGGGATGCTGTTAGCAGAGTGGGCTGGAAGTCCTGACTGGTGTGTTTGGCTCAGGAGGGCCCTCTGGCCAGCTCCACAGACAGGTCTGGTTTTAAAAAGTGCCAGGGAGCCATGGATTTGCATGTTATTTGCGTTCCAGGCTTCAATTCCAGGTATGTGGAATGAAATGAATGAATGAACAGTATTCAGGCTCTTGGTTAAGGGGTGGACTCAGGAATCCAGACCACACTGAGGATCCAATCACTGGTCCCACTTGGATCAGGAGACATAGACACAGAGACAGAATAAACAGTCAAAGAGACAGAGAGACAGTCTTAGAGAGACAAACACCACCAAGTCCTTTTTCACCAGGGAGTTTCCAGTCAAAGCAAGAAAGCAAAATCCACAGAAATTATTTTAAATAAATCAACTTTTAAGAACTAGGGAGAGAGTTACACACAGGTAGATAAACGCAACATCATCCCTGACTTATCTCCACCTCTGTCCCTCCATCATCCACGCCCAGCTTCTAACTGGAGTGTGCACCAGGAGTCGGCCTTCTTGATAAGGTCCCTTACTTGGTGTCTGCCTAGCCTCCAAATTAGTTAGACTCTAAGGTCCTTAAGGACAGGTGGCTTTTATTTCCTTGGTCAAACCATCTTTTCACTCCACCCTCCAGGGCCCCCAAGTCCAGTGCTTAAACACATGCTTATTAAACACCCAGTGTAAGGGGCTCCCCAGAATATCAGATGAGGCAAATGCTCTCCAGGAACTTAGCTCTGGCTAACAGATAAGACACAGGCAGCATGTAAAATGGTCCATTTAAAGGACAAGGCAGAAAGGGACTCAGTCTCAATCTACAACAGCACTGGACATAAAAAAGATGGAGAAGACTAGAAAGGTGTGTGGTTAGGGAAAAAAAAATACTATGATTAGCTCCTTGGGACAGAGACCGAGGCCCGGGAAGGGCATGCTAAACTGCCAAGGAAGATGTTTAAGGGCAGAGTGGGGCATTAGGTTTGGGACCACGAAGGAGGTGCAGCTCCAATGCACACTGCCATAAGCAGTCCTCCTTCCCCAACCCTTGAAATGCTGTCTTCTCAATCAACGTTTAATGCAGTTACCCCTACTCCTCACTGGCCGGCCAGAGAAGCAGCTTGCACTCCTGGCTTGAAGAAAAAGCACCAAATCATTCACCTGCTCTCTGTGACAACAGGTCTCAGTCCGTTCCTGATGTAAAAGACAGATTACAAATATGGAGTTATAACATTTTCTGATTATTCGGGCTACAGCTGTCCAGATAAGAGATTTTAAGATAATGTGATCAGGGAAGGTTTCAGGGAGATGGGATTTGGGTGTGTGTGCTCTGTAGGTACTTAAGAAAGAACCAGGAGTAAACTGAATGAGGTGTGCCCAGCAGACTGAAGACTTTGGGCTCCTTGTACATCTCTTTCCCACACTTTCCCTTCCGGACATTGATGTTCTGCAGAGTAGAAGGACAATCTCCAGGAGTCAAGCAGTTGATGGCTACTTGTCAGCTGAGAAAGGAGAAATCAACAGCTATGATCTGTCCCATTACGGTAAGACTCTGACCTGGGCCTTAATTGTAAAACCAAGCCATATTAACACTGGCCTTAAACTTGAACTTTGAATCACTACCTTGACCGAATTCTATTCCAAGCAGGATTATGGCCCTCCACATTTCAGAATCTTAGACTCTGACAAGACCCTAGGTATCTGGTCCAACCACTCACAATGAGAATTATTCTTGCCCTATCCCTGACAGCCCAGAGAGGCAGGCTGTACTAATATTCTTTCACGGTTTGTCTTCTGGCTCAAAGTGTTTGAGTTTCTCTTTTCTATCCCACAGGGGATTCATGTGTAAGTTCCCCCTTATCTTAGTGGGTGACCAGCATGACCCCATATACCCTTATGTCCCTCCTCACCTCCAAAGCTGGGAATGATAGTCATGGCCTCTTTTTTTTTTTTTTTTTTAAAGATTTTTTATTTATTTATCTGAGAGAGAGAATGAGATACAGAGAGCATGAGAGGGAGGAGGGTCAGAGGGAGAAGCAGACTCCCTGCCGAGCAGGGAGCCCGATGCGGGACTCGATCCCGGGACTCCAGGATCATGACCCTGAGCCGAAGGCAGCTGCTTAACCAACTGAGCCACCCAGGCGCCCCAGTCATGGCCTCTTAATAGAGGTCAGGATTCAGCAAAGGTGAAATAAGGCTCCGGGCTCTAAGGGAAGATGCTGGACTGAGCCTTACATTTTAGGATGAATTCAAAGCTATGGGTAGGTTCCTTCTGGGCAGGGAAATATGGTGACTTTCCCAGGAGCTCAGCATGTAGCCTGAGTCAATGACAGGGCCTAAGAGTCTATATTCCACCTCGCCCTGGCCCATCCAGGTGGAGCAAGGGAGAAGACAAAGTCAAAGTGTCAGTCGTCTCTCTCTCTTACTCTGGCAAGACATATTTGAGAACTGGAGGGATGGCACAGAAGGACCAGAGGCTGAAACATAAAAACAATGGGGTTCTTAAGTGAATCCTCTCCCTCTCCTTAGGCCTTTCATAGGCCATGTAAAACCAGGTGGTGATGGACAGACTACGCGATGGGGTTGCAGGCAGTACTTCTTCAGGTCACGTGTTTCTGCCCCAGGGCACTAAAACTTGGAGCTAACATTGCTAGGGGCAGTGGGTAGAAGATGCTGGCACAATTACAGGAGCTAAAGAAGAGAAGAGTTGATACCACAGAGAAGTATGAAGTGCCTCATAGATAGAGGAGCCAATTTCCACAATGTCTCCATGAGGAACAAGGAAAAGTACTCTTACATCCAACCCCAAACGGGACTCCCAGGAGCAATAGTGGGTCCCCAGCAACAAATGGGACAGAACTAACCTCCATGCCTTCTTTTCAAATGTTCTATCTGATTTTCTCCGTACAGGGTCCAGGAGTGATTGGTGGGACTGTAGTTCCTGTTGAAGGCTCTGTATCTAGATAGAGTTCATCATCCCTCAAGTGTTACTTTTTAAGAGGAGGTAGGTGATTATGAGCACTGAACACAGGGAAGAAGGAAAAACAGGAGAAAAGGAAGGCAAGAGGCTTTAGTTTAAAGCAGTTTAACTAAGATACTGGTAGCATGCCCTTGGCCATGGAATGCAGGAACCTCCTTCGCCCCTCCCTGGTCATCAAAACCCACCCTTAAATGAAGGAGAAACTAAGTTCCCAGATGCTAGTCCTAAATTTGTTGGCTAGTTCTCTGGAAAAATGGCCCACTACAGATGTCTATATTTGGTTCCCACTGAGCCACCCTGGGCTACAACCTATGTCTCAGCTTGGTCCACCCATGTAGGGTGGTCTCAGGATCACTAACTTCGCCTTGTACATAAATGCACTGGTCAGAAAGGGGGTCCACGTTCAGACAGGCTCAACAATTCCTTATATATTTTTCAAAGTGCTTTTGTTGCATGTTTCATTTTCTGTTATACATGGCAATAAATATTTGTTGCTTTGGTCTGTACAAAAAGTCTGTGAGGAAGGTAAGACAGATGTTGTTATCTAAATGGACAAACAATAAATACAGACACCTATCTTGTTCTGAGCCCCCCCCAGATAATAGCAAGAGCACCTGAAAAACTCAGGTATTTTGACTCATAGTCCAAATCTATGCCATACTGCCACCTTTCCATTTATCACTGAAATACATTAAGTACCAAGAATCCACGTGCAGGAGTCATACACTGAGCCTGCACACTGTAGCTTTCTAAAAGAGAATGTGAAAGGTCTCAGCAACTCATAAATAGAAAGCTATTTATTTCCTATAGAAAAACACAAGAAAGAAAAAGGAAAGAAAGAAAGAAAGAAAGAAAGAAAGAAAGAAAGAAAGAAAGAAAGAAAGAACAAACGAACGGTGGTCTTCCCCAAAAAGGCAGGCAGTTATGAAAAAGGTAGGACATCTGGTTGCTGGAGTGGAAACAGTAACATTCAGTTAACAATGGAATATTTAAAAAAAATAGTTTTCTTTTCAAATTGTAACCTGTGGTAAAACATAGAAAAATGTACTAAACAAGCTTGGTATAAAACAGAGTAAAATTTTCAAATAAGCCCAGAGAGAAAGCACAATGTTGGAAAGGATGGGGTACAAGGGAAGAAGAGAAAATATTTCATACAAAACTACCTATTACAATACAGAAAAAAGTATAAAACGTTCCTATTTTGGAACTTAAGTACAAAATGACACTGGCATTGGATCGTTCCACTATCTAGCCTGAGGAGCGCTCAGAGGGTGGGGGAGATGCTAGAAAGAACAAAAGGAATAGCAGTTTTTTTAGTCTCAAGTTGATCAGTCCAAATTCCACCCGTTTTCCAGTTGAAAATCTTTGCCTCCCTCTGTAACCTTGACCCCTAAGCCAAAGTTCATCCAGGCCTCAAAATATTGTTAGGAAGTCCACAAACACCCTCCACATAGGGGCTGGGATCTGTGCGTGCTAGAGCTAAAGCTGGAAAAAGGAAATAAATCTACAGGCTAAAGTGGTGAACACATTCAGCCTTTTAAAAAAACACATATCCCTGTGAAATATATATATATTTATATATATATATTAAATTCTCTGTGGTTAGAAACCTATTTAGACTAACTAGCCACAGACCAAACTAGACCTGCATTCATCCCATGCTGGAATTTTACGCTAAAGACTGAGGTCCTTCTTCTTGGTCAGAAGTCGGCGGCAGTAAAAGTGGTGCCTTTGTTGCTCCACTAAACTGCTCCCTGGGTGGGTCTTCTCTGTATCCTGTGTTGTGAGCACATGCTAACCCCTGCTTTAAGGAAAGGCCTGCCTGGGACTTTGGGGTCCCCCCCCGGGCTCATGTGTTCTGCCTCAGGCTGGGAGGAAGCTACAGATGACAAAACAGCCTTGTACAGAAGCAGATGGATCTCACAAAGAGGCATATAAATAGGGAAGTCCTGGAGAAGGGACGTAAGCGTGTGACCCCAAGTCCAGTTTACAGTCACTTTCCTGACAACACATCGTGAAAATCCTGCGTGTATGTGTGCGTGTATATGCTGGTGGTTTTCATCCCTACCTTTTTGCCCATGCCCTTTCCTACCTCTTAGTAAGGCCTAACAACAAGAGTTTATATGAAACCAAGAGTCTGTCCAAGCTTCTCTCGGCCCCCGAATTAGGGACTGAGTGAGGCTGGAGCCCTTTGAAAACAAGATGGCAGAACTGAAGAAGTGAAAAGCAGTCTCTCTCTTCAGCTTAGGGATGTCCCTCACCCCTTTCACAGCACCAAAGTTTCTTTGCAAAAATAGTATCTGAGATACAAAAGGAAAGGCAGATGTGCTTGTGAATGCATCTCGCCAGGGCCTGGTCCAGGATCAAGGGCTTTACAAGAACAGAGGGGTGGGAGCAGCTGTTTCCAAGGTCTCTGGCTGTAGACAACAAAGAGCTGGTCCCCCACAAGGTCAGTGTCGGCTAACTGAGACAGTCTTCACAAAAGCTTTCGGTGGAGAATCTCCCAGACCATCCGCTTCCGGAAGTATGGCATGTGTTGCTGTAGGGACACAGAGATACCCTTAATTTTTTCATTGCTTTTATCCAGACCCAACACTCCTTTCCTTCTCAAGGTTTTCAATTAAAATAGCTTCAGTTGCATTTCTGGTCTTTCAAATTGCTCAATTCTTGATTACATGTAATTTTTTTCTATTGCTATCTCTACTGCTATTTTCTCTTGTTGTAGCCTTACAAACTTTATTGGGCATCACCAGGAGTCCCCAGGCTACACCCAAATGTCTCCAAGAATTTTGAGGATGGTGTCTATCAAGTCCTCTATGTTGAACTTTTAAGACGATGGGAGATCTAAGGCCTGAAAATCAAAAACTTACTTTTAGGGAAAGAGTTATAGAACTGCAAGAGTCAGCTCTACCCAAGGGCTATGGTGGAAAAGTCTGGTAAAGCCATTAATTTAAAGTACAGGACACAAACCATAATCTCCAGTCTCAATCCACTTTGGTCTCTGAAGGACCACATGGACAGAAATAAACAATCACAAACTAATAGGAGACTGATGAGCTGCATCAAGTGAGGGGCAGGGGAGGAGGGCAGCATGACAAATTACACTAGGAGTTCAAGGTGTAGCCTGTGCCAAAACCTGACTGCTAACGAGATGAAGAGAAAATGAAGAAAACTTGTTCTGGTCCCAGTTCTCTGTTTCTTACAGGCTTTGAGGTAGGTGCGGGGAGAGGGGCAGAGAAGAAGGCTCTGTTAATGACCAGGATTCGTTGACTGTAGCATGTGATGTAAGGGAACCCAGCATGTGGCCTATCACTATCCTTTTTCTTGTGATGTGGTCTACGTGGTAACCACCAGTGTTACGGGCCATAGGCAGAGTTCGCTAGGCAGAGCAGGTAGAGGAAAAAAAAAAATCTACCGGGCAGCCTAGAGACAGGGTGGTCCCAGGGCTCCTTCCCGAAGGCTCAGCTCACCTGTGTGAAGTTGATTGGTCTGTCTTTGGTAATGCAGTCAGCATATTTGCAAGCAAACATGCCACAGTCACTTCCATTCATCTGCTGTGGAATTTCCTGAAAGATCAAAAATAACAAAAAGGTGACATGTTTCCAAGCTTCCTTCCTTCATATTAGATTATAAATAAGAACCAAAGGATATAAATGTTACAGGTTTCCCTGAATTTTGAAGAGGTGACCCTAAGTCCCTCACCCAGAACAACACAGGCTCAGAGAAAAAAAATACAGCATCTCAGTCAGGTCTTCATATTAATATTAATCTTCGTATCAGGAGACTATCTTAGACTTCCATGACACCTAAAGATATAAAGACAAGTCCCTCCCATAAGGGCCAATCAGCAACCATTTCCCACAGGAGTGAAAAGCTCAGTAAAATAGCTGGGCATTCAGAAAACCTAGTTCTACATAAGAAACACATGACCAGTTTTCCCACAGACAGAGCTTACTCTATCTTCCCCTGAGGAACCAAACAACCAAGCTGAAGTCAGGCTAGACACTAAGAAGGTCCCTGGGAATCAAGCAATAAAACCCTATCCTTCCCAAATACCCTAATATCAGGATTTCCACCTGATGAGATGAAATGTACCTGGCTTTTCTTGCTGAAGAGCTGCCAGCCACTGGTGTCAAACTCTTTCCTTTTCTTATCAATGCTTTCTTGCTTCAGGTATTGCCTAAAGGTATTGGGAGAGAAGGAGATGAGCTGTGGGGACACTGATGACAGCTGCCACCCTAAGAATGAGGTTAACAATCCTTAGGAAGGGTTTGCATCTGCACTTCTGAGGAAAACAGTATATAATGCTGGGCGGGGAAATCTTTGGGCTGCTAAGCTTCCCCTGCAGCTCCCATAATTCATGCCCACCCTGTCAACCCAAGAGAAACAGGACCTCTGCCTCTGACACCCAGGTTCCTTCTACCTATTGTTCCTCCTGAGGAATGAGGTTTGATTCTTTTCCTTGGTTTATATGGTCCTTCAGAACTCGACCACATGGAAGAAGGTTTCTCTAGCAATATCAAGGCAGTTATTCACTATTTATAGTCTTGATTCTCCTGTGTGAAAATTCAATCCAAATCACAATTTGATGAGTGCATACCTCATACAGAGCACTCTTCTTAAGTGCAAACTGTTCGCCTCCTCCTGGCCACCAGAATGGTATAGTGGTACAGTGAGGAATAGGCATTTTGGAAAGACAAACAGATGGGGTATAAAGAGATTTGCATTCTGGTTCCCAGTTGAGCCACTAACTAGTAGGACCTGAGCATATCAAAGTCACCTCTGTGGGTCTTGGATCCTTCAGCTGAAAAATTAGGGAGGTTGGATTAGATGACTTCTAAGTAGTTTCTATATTATATGTACATATTGACTCATTCATTATTTTAGTGCACTGGGACAACAGTTGTCCCCATGAGGGCATCTTTCTGGTATTATATTATTAGTAAACTTTACTTACTCAGACATAAAATATCCATTCTTACCTCAGTGTGAAGATTTCCTTTATTAATCATAATCACTCCACTAAAGGTATCAAAGAACACAACATACACCCAACACCAAACTCTTTTGTTCTCAAGTCCCTACTTACAGGAGGATCCTGCAGGCTTCATTGTTTATCCCACCCATAGAGTCGTAATAGGTAATATTCTTCTTTCGAAAGTCCACAACCTGGGAATAAAAAAAATCTGTGTGTTCATAAAATAAGAAAAATAGTTTCTCAGCTTTCACTTCCCTGGAACTTGGAACCTTTTTTTTTTGTTTAAGATTTTATTTATTTATTTGACAGAGAGAGA